GTTTGTAAAGATATTGATATACTGCTATATTGGGCAGCATTGCTCTGACTCTAGATTGTTTGTAGGTGCACTTCAGAACGCACCTGATTTTATTGTTACTTAACACATTAATTGGTGTAAAGTTTTTAATGTTGGGTTTTTCAGTGTTCATTTCTAATCTGTGGCTTATTCACCTTCTTAGGCACTCCTTTTTTTGCTTCTCAAAGTTTTGAACTGATATTTTTAGTCTGTCTGTTTTGGTCTTAAATCAATTTCTCATCCTTGGGTTAAACCCTTGTGCCAGCAAGACTGAAGACCGACAGGTCAGAGGTTCAAATTCGAGGAGAGCATGGATGAGCTTCCTCTGTTAGCTCCAGCTCCCCATGCAGGGACATGAGAGAAGCTTCCCAGAAGGATGGTAAAACATCAAAACACCCTGGCATCCCCTGGGCAACATCCTTGCAGATGGCCAATTATCTCACACCAGAAGTGACTTGCAGTTTCTCAAGTTGCTGCTGACATGAAAAATAAAAACATTCTTTAGTTTATGGCCAAGGCCAACTGAAAGCAAAAGTCCAGACACTATCTTCCCTTCTACTCAGGCCGCATACATAGAATCATAGAGTTGGAAGAGACCTCATGGGCTATCCAGTTCAACCCCCTGTCAAGAAGCAGGAAAAACACATTCAAAATACCCCCAACAGATGGCCATCCATCATCTGCTTAAAAGCCTCCAAAGAAGGAGACTCCAGGGCAGAAAGTTCCACTGCTGAACAGCTCTCACAATCAGGAAGTCCTTCCTCATGTTCAGGTGGAATCTCTTGTAGTCTGAAGCCATTGTTCCGCATCCTAGTCTCCAGAGCAGCAGAAAACAAGCTTTCTCTCTCCTCCCTACTTCCCATCACATATTTATACATGGCCATCATGTTTCCTATCTGCCTTCTCTTTTGAAGGCTAAACAAGCCCAGCTCTTGAATCCGCTGGTTGGATGGACAATTTACTGTAATCCATTTAATTGATAATTTATCATTGCCCATCCAGTATCTATCTATTTGGTGCTCAAATGCTGTGTATCAGTTGCACAATAGACTTACATTAGTCCAGAGATGCTGTATTATTACTTCTCTGCAGTCAATGAAATAGTACCCTTGCCACAACTGCTACAGCAATGTATTTTAAGGCGGCTGAGACAGGTTAGGTGGGATGCACAAATCCCTCCTCCAACAGAGTGTACATTATCATCACTGGCCCCTAGAATCTTGTACGGTAATTCTCATTCAGCCGTTTTAAGACTTATTTAAGAGAGGAGGATCATAATGATGATTCTGACCAATGGTAGAAAGCCCTACTCAATACCCACAAGTTGGTGTATTTTTTCCTACTTAAAATTATTCTGGTATAATTTTATGCTATAACTAACTGTAGTACCTTGCATTACTCAGGACAGTCATGAACTATTGTTCATTACTGCTCAGTTTCAACCGCTCCATAAAATGAGTGTCTTATCCCTTTTTGTGCTGAAGAAATGGCAGAGTTTTTTCTGAGTAAAAACTTTAGAACAACATATATGCTACAACAGGGAGTGGTAAAAAAAAGAATTTACCATCACATTTCCGATGAGACAAGTGGCATTTGTGAAAGCTTGGAAGAGGCTTTGGCTGAAAAAAGACTAAAACAGAAAACTAGCCAGTCACAGCAGTGATTATATATTCCAAAGGATTTCACCTTTTCTGGTATCTGCATTGCAGCCCTGTTTCTACATTTCTTAAAAGTGAAGCTAGATGAAACCAAATCAAGTTGCGTCTTCCTCTGAAAAGTCAACTGATTCTATTTCCCTTTAAAGGTCAAAAGCTGATGTTGGTCTCAGTTGGAGTATAGCTGTTGCATCAGTGCAACTCACATCACTCTGTTTGTGATTAAAGATTGGCTTTAGGTGGCAGCATTCTACTAATTACAAGCTGCAGTGTGTTAATTGCCATCTTGACCTGCAAGCAGATGGTGATGGTGACGATGATTAGCAGATAGATATGGCTGTGTACCAAACAAAGACCTCACAGTGTTCTCCATCAAATAAAAAATGTCAGCAGGTTGGTGTTAACATAAAGATAAAAGCAGATCTTTTAATTTTTTAGAAGACACCTTTTTGAGGAGTTTGGCTCATTATGCATTGCTGTCTCACATAGTTGCCTTTCTCATAGTAAACTACTGTAGGATTCTATGTTTTATGATGTTTATTTTAATTTGTCTGTATGATTTCCCTTTTTGGCAGTTGAATGTTTTGCCAGCAATAGTATGATAGCTGTGACCCTACGCTAGTTGTGCAACACAAGTCTGAATTAATGAAGGGAACACGCACGCGAGTGAGAGATGCAGCTGGGAGGGGACAACAGTGAAGTAATTTAACTCACGTGCAACAAGAGAAGAGTGAAGTAATGTAACAGTTATTTCATGTTAAATGATAAACAGCGGCTTACAAAGACCTTAAATGGGATAGAAATGAGCTATCTGTGCTTGGTAGTATTTCTCCCCTCCTTTTTATTCTTCCTTCCATTGCAATGACTTCTCTGCAGATGTGTCTCTCACTTGGTGCACTCACTCATGCATGTGTTCCCCTAATTCAGACCCGCCTTGCGCAACTAGCATAGCATAGGGTCCCAGCTATCATACTATTGCCATTTTGCCTTATATGTTGGAAGCCACCCTGAGTCCCTTTGGGGAGATATATAAATATAATTTTTTTATTATTATTATTATTATTATTATTATTATTATTATTATTTAAATGTTGTGTATCTGTTGTACAATAGATTGGACATGTGTTTCAAAAGGTTCAGTATTATTCCTACTCCTAGTATTATTTGTATTTGTACCCCACTTCTCTCCCATGCATCAGTTTCAGTTGCCCTTGAGAGAGGCAGCTATGAAGTAGCTATACTAGTGAAATACATCAGTAGCCAACCATTACTTAGAACCAGAATACAGTACTGGCACTTCGTAATGGTTAGGCTAGGATATATACAGTATATGTATTTTTTAATGAAACTTCTTATGTAACCCATTGAGAGACCAATAATAAGCTTTTACTATTCAGTCTTCCACAGATGCTAAAAATTCATTGCATCACATTTGATCTTTCTGATACTTTTGTTCATGGCCAGATATTTGCATGGAGGACTTTTAAACATTGTGCAAAAACAGTTTTGGGGGCAAATTTTCTTGTTATTGCTTCCTAAACTGATGTGTAAGAACATTACTTATCTTGAGTTACTTCCAAAACCAGCTAATAAATAAAACAAATTTCCAACAAATTGATGAATAAGCTGTGTACTGTTGACACATCTTTCACAACAAAAAGTAGAACTATCATGCAATGCTGGAACTTCAAAGCAAGTTCCAGTCTAAACAAATTCAATTCAAGGCCTTTTTTGGTTTTGCTTTAATTTTTGACAGGCCGGAAGAAGCTGCGCCTCTTTGAATATCTTCATGAATCTCTTCACAACCCAGACATGGAAAACTGCATCCAGTGGATAGATAAACCCAATGGCATCTTCCAATTCGTTTCCAAAAACAAGGAGAAATTGGCAGAACTGTGGGGGGAATGCAAAGGAAACCGGAAGATTATGACTTACCAGAAAATGGCCAGAGCACTGAGGAATTATGGAAAAACAGGAGAGATAATTAAAATCCGAAGAAAGCTGACTTATCAGTTTGGGGCTGTGCTATTGCAAAAGCTTTCTTCAGCCTGCTTTCTGGGGAAAGATGAAATTATTGATCAGTATGCCCAAGATGACAAAGAGTATCTGTGTGCAAATGGCTGGTTTTCTTATTATTACATGTACAAGAAGGGTCATGAACGGCATCAGGGTAACAGCAATACGACCCCATTCTGTCATACTTCTTAGAGTTTAGAAACTTTAGTATTCAGAGACACTATGCATTCATATAGGATTCAAATACTTTAATACATTGGTTCTCAACCTGTGGGTCCCCAGGTGTTTTGTCCTACAACTCCCAGAAATCCCAAGTAGTTTACCAGCTGTTAGGATTTCTGGGAGTTGAAGGCCAAAAACACCTGGGGACCCACAGGTTGAGCACCACTGCGAGTCTAGTACATACAGTATTCATGCACACTTGGAAGAAGGAACGTACAACCTCCAGATATGGTTGACTGTAACTCTCCTGACCAGCACAAGAAATGGTGAGGGATGATGGGAATTATAGTTCAATAATATCTGAAGAGTTACCACATTTATACAGAACTGTTAATTCTCTAGAGCTCTGAAAATATAAATAGACTGATTCTCCTAACTCTTCTGGAAAAACTGGAATGAAGATGGAAGGTATTTAATACTTCCATTCTATATATGTTTTGCAGTGAGAAGGCTACACTGAATTCAACAGGACATATTTCTCAAGATAAATTTATAAGGCTATACTCCATCCCTTTCTTACTAGCAATAGGTGCCACTGAATTCAATGAAATTTACTTCTGGACAGATGCATATAGGAATGCAATGTGCTGCTACAATCCCATGCTTAGCTAATTAGTGTACGGAATTTTAAAAAGCTAGAGTAGAGTATTACGTAGAATGAACTAGCTTGCATTTAAGTGCAGGATTATACTGCAAAGTTCCTAAAAATCGAAACGAAATTATTAGAATTCGAGCATTCTGATTTTAGCAATATTGCTTTTCATTCTAATTAATGCATGCTTCCAATTAATGACACTGTTATACACATGCTTATTCAGAAATAAGGACTGCTGCATTGAATCCCTAGTATTTGTGCTCATAATTCCTGTCTCAAATTAAGATCTACGAGTATGTATGGTCTTGTTTATAGCTGAAATATATTTACCATGTCTTGGTTTTTCAATAAATTTAGTGCTTAATTTAGATTGTATTTTATGTATCAAATAAAGTACCACTTTATGTAACAGTCATGATTCAGATTATTTATTAACTTGCTGAGGAAATCAATATTAGGGCTTTTTGGTTACTAGTTTTCAACACACAAAAATCTACATAAGTATACATGCAAGTATACTTGCAGGGGCTGCAGTAGTACAGTGGGTTAAACCGCTGAGCTGCAGAACTTGCTGGCCAAAAGGTTGGTGGTTCGAATCCATAAAGCAGAGTGAGTTCCTGCTGTTAGCCCCAGCTTCTGCCAGCCTAGCAGTTCGAAAACATGCAAATGTGAGTAGATCAATAAGTATCGCTCTTCCAAGAAGGTAACGGCGCTCCATGCAGTCATGCGTGGTTGACTGAATAAAATAAAATAGTCTGCAATCCACTAAAGCTTTTGGGAAATAATCAAGTGATGCTTGCTAAGCATAAGTTGAGACATATTGTGCATTCCTTCAGATGGGTTAGACTTTCATGTGTGCAATGTTTCACAATCCTCCACTTTTGGGGAAGAGTCTCAGAGACTTCCATGTGCACAAAATAGTAGTATAGTTATGACATTGTTATGGCCACAATCTTATTAAAGGCTCAAAGGTACAACCTTATACAGGAGACAAAATGCACATGGCAGTCTCTATTCGTTCTAGAGCAGCGTTTCTCAGCCTGGGGGTCGCGACCCCTAGAGGGGTCGCCGGGCCATTTCAGAGGGGTCGCGGCCCCATGTCCATTGGCCCCGCCCCCTCCACCAGGCTGCGCAGTGCTGCCTCGGTCGCCTGGCTGTGGCCAGCTTTCGCCGCTTGCCAGGCCCGACGGGCGGCGCGAACCAGGCAAGGGGCTTCCCACCAGGCCAGGCCAGGCTGTGCTGCCTCCCTCACCTGGGTTGTGCCGCCTGCCGGGTCTGTCAAGCGGCAAAAGCCAGGCGAGGAAAGCAGCACCGCGTGGCTTAGCCTTGCGGGTATCCCTTCGCCTGGCTTGCGAGGCCCGATGGGCGACGCGAGCCAGGGGAGGGGCTTCCCGGCAGGCCAGGCCACGCGGTGCTGCTTTCCTCGCCTGGCTTTTGCCGCTTGACAGACCCGACGGGCAGGTTGAGTCAGGCGAGGGAGAAGAAAGGAAGGAAAGGGAGGGAAAAGGAAGGGAAGAAAGAAGGAGAGAAGGGAAGAAAGAGACAATGATGGAAAGAAAGAGAGAGAAGGGAGGAAGGGAGAAGGAAAGGGGAGGGGAAAAAGGAAAGGGCTGGCAGGTAGTTGGAGGCGCACCCGTCTCTTCGCCACGCTCCTAGTCTTTGGCCACTCTCCTCTTGCTGCTCCTGTTGCCCCCAGGTGGGAAACCAGCAGCAGCAGCAGCCATGCCAGCAGCAGGGCCAAAGGGCAGCAAGAGGAGAGCAGCCGGAGACGAGGAGCGTAGAGAAGAGAGACAGGTGCTCCTCCCGCTGCCATCCAGCTCTGCAGCCCCAGGTGCTTTCCTTCCTCGCTCTTTCTTTTTTCCTTCTCTTTATTTCTTTCCTTCTTTTCCCCAATCTTTTCCATTTCCTTCCTTCTGCCGTAATCCCTTCCTTCCTTTCATCTTTCCCTTCCCTCCCTCCCTCGTTCTTTATTTTCCTCTGCTCTTGGCCCCTCCCTCCCTCTCTCCCTCCATTCAGATCCAGCTCCACCCCTCATCCTCGCCCTTCGCAGCCACCGGGGGAGAGAACGGTAGCGGCAGGGCCAAGGGGCCATGGATGAAGGAATCTCATCCCTCTGCCTCCATGCGCCTCTCGAGTGCACCAGTATTCCAATTCCAGGATATCAGGTTTTTGTGCCAAATTTGATAAAGATCCATCATTGTTTGAGTTCACAGTGCTCTGTGGATGTAGGCAAACTATAACTCCAAAACTCCAAAGGCCCAATGCCCTTCCATTGACTATTATTATTATTATTATTATTATTATTATTATTGCTCCTGCAGTAATTCTATCTTCCTGTGTGGCAGAAAGAAGAGGCTGGACTACATGACCTTTGGGGTTTCCTTTCAATTGTATGAGTCTTATAATACTACATAATAATAACAATACACTAATTCTATATTCCTGCCTGGTATAAAGGAGGGCGCTGGACTAGATGGCCTTTGGGGGTCCCTTCCAACTGAGAATAATAATAATAATAATAATAATAATAATAATAATAATAATAATAATAATAGTAATGTATAATAATAAAATAGTAACTCTTATTTTCCTGCCTGGCATAAAAGAGGGGCTGGAGTAGATGACCTTTGGGGTCCCTTCCAACTGAGAATAATAATAATAATAATAATGTATAATAATAAAATAGTAACTCTTATTTTCCTGCCTGGCATAAAAGAGGGGGCTGGACTAGATGACCTTTGGGGTCCCTTCCAACTGAGTCTAATAATAATAATAATAATAATAATAATAATAATAATAATAAAATAGTAACTCTACAACTCCCAAATGTCAAGGTCTATTTTCCCTAAACTCCACCAGTGTTCACATTTGGGCATAATGAGTGCTTGTGCCAAGTTTGGTCCAGATCCATGGTTGTTTGGGTTCACATTTGCTCTCCAGATGTAGGTGAACTATATCTCTCCTAAATCACTGCCAACCCCCTCCAGTATTTTTTTTGTTGGTTATGGGGGTTCTGTGTGCCAAGTTTTGTCCAGGTCTTTCATTCGTTGGGAGTCTCAGTTGTCTGTGGAAGTCAGAACTGAATCTGTTGAAGGTACTGCAAAGCCCATCATCCATTGTCCATACTCCTCCAAACATGTTTTGGTGATTAATCTCTATGCTTTAATTATGTTCAATTTGTAATGATGAAAATACATCCTGCATATCAGATATTTACATAATGATTCATAACAGTAGCAAAATTACAGTTATGAAGTAGCAATGGAAATAATTTTATGGTGGGGGGGGTCACCACAATGTGAGGAACTTTATTTAGGGGTCACGGCATTAGAAAGGTTGAGAACCACTGTTCTAGAGGGTGTGGAATGACATGACCAATGGTAATGACATGGTGTTATTGTGTTATGGCTACAATTAAAAAAATAGATGAACAAATAATAAAATGAGAGGTAGGGCATATAAATTAGTGATGATGCTATCAATGTGGATGGGAAAATGTGCAAATGATAGTATTACAGCACAAATGTGGCAACAATCCATAATCAGATAGTCTCATGAGAATGGCCAGAGTGGATTTCAGATGGAATAATGCAACATAAATGAATAATGTCAAAAGGCCCTCTCTATCCATACTGATCAACCACATGTCTGACATGAGTTATAAAGAAACAGTTCCAATAAATTACTTTAAAATGTCTCTTTGTCAGTGTGTTTTAAGTCCTTGCCATGAATCTTGCATCTGCTACTGAACTCACAGATCCCACTCTCAGCGAAACCCAAGATGGCACCCCTGGTGTTAAAATCTTGTTTAAATATGCCAGTAGGTTAGCATAAACTACCATCACAGGTTATTTTAAAAAAACTAACTACAGAAGGTAGAGTGGTACAGAAATAGAAAGAGAGCTTACAAGTAAAGCACCATCTCATGCCATGTTTGGATAAAATTATGATGTGTTCATATCAGATGACTTTCACAGTAAGTTACAGGAGACATAGCAAGCGTTTTGATAACATGATACCACCTGTCTTCAGAGGGGAAAGAAACTGGGCTAGTGCTGGGGAACCTTCTTTTAGCCTAAAGTTAGGATTCAATTTCATCCAAGTTCAGGAGGAAAGCACATTGCCATCATGGGTGGGACCAAAAGCAAATGGCTAGAATCAAAATGACCCACATGAACCTTGTAGAATGGGAAAGCCTAAATCAAGGCTGTAAGAAGGGAAACATGGCCTGGCTTTCATCATCCATGACTTTCGACTAAGTCCATAGTGCTCATAGGCCAGCTTTCTGTAGGTACTTCCTATTCTCCCTTCCAGTTGTTGGTGGCATCCATGGGGTCACTAAATCCATTCTGGGTTTTACTCTGAAGTTTAAAAGAGCTTTTCAAGGTGTTGAATTCAGTTTTGGGATAGAGTTCAGCATTCAGGATAGCACCCTGAAAGTAAAACCAGAGAAGAGTCACAAATCCACTGATGTCTCCTATTCCTTCCA